TTCCCATTGCTCTGGTGATCACCATGTCCCGAACCTCGAATTGACCCGAATACCTCCAACGGTGGTGCTACCTACCTCTCAATGGTGGGATGGCACTACTTTAAAGGACATTTACACAGACGAATTCCTTAGGGTAGGTAGACGACTCTAGATACTTGCTCTAATTTCAAAACAAATCAAAAATACTTTTCACACCGACACCTTTTCAAAAAGCTTTCGAAAGCAATTTTTCAAACACTCTTGAGGACCGATACAAGAGTCGAACTGAAATTTTCAAAGAAACTTTTAAAAACCCACAGTTGAAAAGCAAACAAACCATTTTTGAAAACACAAGTGAGCAAGTATCTAAGAGCCCATGGATAACCATGGATAGAAAGGGTGTTAACACCTTCCCTTTCTATAACCTACCTCCCGAACCGAGAGCAATCTCTTTACGGAATTTTTCTGTGCTTTTGTCCTTTCCATTTGGAGAAAATAAAAGACGGTGGCGACTCTTGCTTCCGCGACATTTGCGAACCAGCGCAAAACAGTCAGTTCCAGATCCACTGATCACACTAACGAATCAAGATATATCATGATGGTGTTTAGAATTGGTGATACATATTGCGCAAACGCATTGATGCAGACAAGAGAAAACATGTGTTGACAAGTATGCTTCAAGTTCTCCCCACAAGATCTTAAGAGCTGTGAAAAATTATGACTCTGATCTTGAATCTTGCTTCAAGCCAAAAATATTGCATTGAAGCTCAGAGATTCTAATGTAGTCTCCTTAAGAGAAATGTTCTTTGAGTTCATGTCACACATCAATAGTATTTTCAAAAAACATGATGCTTTGTGCTATAGAATCTTCGATGGAGTTCATTATCCATGAATGACCAAGCATGTTACAATGAATCCAAGCTTTGAAATTGGGATTGAAATTGGTGGTAATGGAATGGATCCATCAACAAATTCGAACGTATTCTTGCTACCAAGTGCACAACGCATTGAGTGGGCCCATTCATGATAATTTGAATGGTTGAGAATAGGTTTAACTATGACAGATGATGGTTCATCAGATGAGTGGGCATAATTGACATTTCTTGGAATTTGTGAAGGATCGAGAATCGGTGGAGGCAGAGGACGATTACCGTTGGCATTGCCTTGA